AAAAAAAGGCCCTAAAGTTAACCCAAAGCAACACAGCCTGCACAGCAGGATTTCTGTTACAAACAAAGAAACAAACAAACCCAACAGCACAAAAACTCCCCAGCCCTACAAAACTTTAACACTGTTTTGGTACCTGCTTAATCTGGACTGTGCAATTTCTGAGGAGCAAGGAAAAAAAAATGACGATAACTTATTTTATAAAATACATTCTTTGTGCGGGATGAAATTGTGATACATCACGTGCTTTTCTGAAAACACCTTGAGTAAGTCCTTAGCCATACACATTACAAAGATAAATTTGTCACAGAAAAAAATAAAACTGTAAAAGAAAGCTAGCTGGCTTTCATGACATGTATTTCCACTTCTGGCTACAGCCAGTCGGTACTAGGAACAGGGAGCCGGACACAGTATTTCAGCATTAAAGCGAATAAATTGAAGGTGGAAACAGACCTATGAGTTCACCTTGTGTCACTCCTCCTTTCAGTGCCTGCCACGGTAACCAGAGGCGGACGCACCGAGCACGGAGCTGGTGAGAACAGAGCCTGCATGTGAGCCCAGCCACAAGGCAGAGAGGTGAGTAATTACCATATATAATACATTTAATATGCTGCTTAGATTTTAGCATAAATTTTTATTTCTGACATTAGTGAGTCATTTAAATATTTAGCCCAGACAATAAAATGTAAAAACATCTACTGTATGTGCCTGCTGAGTCTAACAATAGTCACGCTATTAGGGCCCCAGTGAATGTGGTTATATAAGAATAGCTCAAGTCCATGTCATACATACATTATGCACTTACAAATAAATAACTCTACAAAAAGGTCTGTCTTCTCTCCGGAGTTTCATGTGATAGGCAAAAAAGGCTCTTTCTGGTGATGACAAATTAGGAATTGCACATTTAGTAGATGAATACATTACTGGTGCATCACCAAAGTCAACCACTAGTCAACAAAAAGACATATCATATGAAACAATTTTTTAAATTTTTATTTTACATATTTATACATAAAACTTTCAAGGTAACTCTTTGAATCCAACTGAATGTTAATAGCACATCTGAAAAGGAACGTCAGGTAGTCAACATTCACAAAATGTTGAAAACTGATTAAAATATACATATTACTGAAAGCTACAACTTCACTACGAGGCAGGCATGTATTGTTTGACTTGTATAGCACCGTCAATTACAGTTTCTTTGTTTAAAACTACAGTGAAGAATAAAAAAGTAGTCAATGGTAAAATATCGTTCAACTTAAAATCTCTAAACGAACAAAAATAAAGTTAAACTACCCTCTCTTCTTATCCATGATTTATAATGTTATAAGTACTGTACATTTTTGTAATAATATTATTAAAATGCCTCATATTTAGTGGCAGAAGTAAAAAAATTAAAATAAATTAAGAAGCAGAGGCCAATCACTGGACATAAAGCTTCAGACATGATCAATAACTAACACTGATTTTCTTGTGCGCCACCTTGGACATCAGCATTTGTACAAACACAGAAGCAAAATAAAGTCTAGCTCGATCTCTAGTCTGATGGCTTCTTGTTTCATTTTGCTGGCATTTTCTCTGCCATGTGCTTCTGCTGGCTTTCGGCGTGTCTGGGAGGAGGGAAAGGAAAACTCCCGTTATTTACTGCCACGGGCACAGGGAGGAAACCAAAACCACATGCATAAATACGTGCACGGTGTTGAAAGGCACAATCGACATCTACACTGCCCTGGAAGCAAACCAAAAAAACCCACTTTCCCAAGGGAGAGAAGAATTCAGCGATGACTTATCTGTTCGGCTTCCTTACAAACTAGATTAGAGCAAAAGGGATACAGCTTAAATGAAAAGGAAAGGCAGTGTCTTCTGGGGGAGGAAACACCTTCTCCAATGTGATTTTGTTTCAGCCATTCATTTCCTCCTCCTTGGCCAGGGATTTAGACGTGCTTGTTTGAACACAATGAAAGGATGTGAAAAGCTAGTGTCAGGCCTGACAGCCCATCCTGCCCCTGCCCTGGACCAGCACCCCACACGCAACCCAACTGTGGCTACGGGGGACGCTGCCTGGACTGACAACTGCTTACATCAGCCCACTTATGGGCTGGGGCTAGCTGCATTCAGGCCAGCACAGAAGGAGAAACGGCTGCAACATCAAGCCCACGCATCGCTATAAAGGACGACAGAGAGTAAGCAGTGCAGATTCTGTTTCTGTGGGATTTTGGTTTTCCGCAGACCCGAAGCGCAAAACGCTTTGCCCGCACCAGCATCCCTGCGATTCCCCGACTCTCGCAGACACACACGGTCATGACTGCAGCCCAGGCACCGCAGTGGGACCATCTGCTGGTACAGCACGCAGCAGGATCAGGTATCAGACCTCACGTTTCCTCAGTTTCTGTGCTCAACAGTTCTCACACCAAGCAAAATCCTGCCACCACCAACAGTACCTAACCAAGTCACATCCAAATGGTTCATCAGGACTGCCCTGCAAACGTGTCCCAGGCAATATCCTTTTTCTTGTTTCATTGCTTTCAAAGGCTTGGGGCTGTTTAAGGAAAGAGCCCCAACAGCACGTGGAATACCATCCAAGCGCTCTGGCTCCACTGCGTTTCCTGAAGGGGGAGAAGGGCCAATAGGGCCAGTTCCAGCCCTGCTCCCTCCCGCTCTCACAGGCGTTTGCCTCCCTGGCTGGCCAGGGAAATTCGGGAGGCAACGCACTGCTCTGAGGCACCCTCCCGGGAGGATTACACTGGGCCAGAGAAGAAAACAGCAGCTGGCAAGTTCATCTATTGCAATCAGTAGGCACGTGTATCAGCCTATTGTTGCAGAAGGAACTGGATTTGCGAGCAAATTTCCATAAAAATACAATGGGCCTCAAATGGATATTAAACTGTGTGTCCCAGAAAGAAGACCTTCTAATTAGCCAGCTCCATCTCTAATCCCGAATCCTGCTGTTTTATTATTTGCTATTAATTCTGAGGCAGTGACTGTCTTGCAGTATTTATAAATAACCACCTACCTCATTCATTTCTGTGGCTGCCATTCCTAGAAGTGCCAGAGGGTGGCATGAGAATTACTCTGAAAAAAAATCCCCCTTGCTCTTCTATCATAGTTGACTGAAACTTTTTCCAGGTAGAGCATGATCAAATTTCAACCAAATATTATGCAACAAGATGTTTTAAAATAGAAACAAATTTAGGCCATTCTTGTTTTTTCTGTATCATGTTAGGAAGGAATGCTTAATACAGTATTCAAAAGGAGGCTAGAGTTACAAAGGTATTTTACTAACCTGATTTAATATATTTTTGCAAGCTTAATGCTTCAGTTTTGAAGCTGTAATCCTGGTGCACTGAAAATAATCAGTAACATCTTTTTAAGCTTTTCCAACCAGATGCTTTAAATACAGCTTAAATTGTGCACTGAAGAGACATTACATCAGGGGAAAATACCTCTTAAGCCTTGCCACAAGTGAGATAAGAGCTCTCTGGGAAACAGTGCCCATATCCTGAAATGCTTTCCATTTTATCTGCCATTGAAAATTAATGCTTGAAAAAAAAAATTAAGAAAGAAATTTACATGTTGGTCAAGTCCTCCTGACTGCAGAGGCAAATCTGCTCTAGCTTCTCCCACAGGCACAGCTTTGATTGCTAAGGGAGCTTCTGTTTGCATTTATTTTTTATTTTTTAATGTATTGGAAGTTTGTGTCTGGCAGCATCCAAGAGCCTTATCCCCAGGTGTGCTTTTCAAACTTCAAAATAAAAACACCAATTCAGACCACAGGAAAGCAAGGGCATGCATCAACAGCTGCCTTTGGGGAGCTCTTGAAAGCTGCCGAAAATCCTCAGAACCTTGGTTCCTCAGTATTTTTGTTTCAGAAGAAAACATCCAGCCCAGCCCCGCTGCTCCTCCTCAAAGCTATCCCACGCGCCTAAGCAGATGTGATGTTTCTGCAATGTCCTCTAGTGAAAACTGCCACTTGGCTTTTGGCTTGGACATTGCAAGGCACAGAAGCAGCCTGAGTGTGGTGAATCCCGCAGCAAGAAGCATTAGCCCTACAGCTACGTGAGTGTTTTGCACATTGATTTGTTATTGTGTTGATTATTTGTATTTATTGACAGAAGTATGCTTTGTTTTGATGGTGGGTTTGTTTCTTAAGGAAACAAACAAAGCAATGATGGGAAACTGCACTAACGGCCAGCCGATCAAAACAGTATTTTGCAGATTATTACACTAATTCTGATGATTTAACATATTATTCCGTAGACAAACACGTTCCTTGCGGTTGCTAGTGTTATCTCCTACATGCCTTTGAATGCAAAAGCTTTAGTACTGAAATGCCACTAACAGAAAACTTCTGCAAGCTGCAGACTGTGAGTTGAGAGCTGTGAGAAGGGAAATGCCTGAAGGGCCACCACTCACCTAGTCAGGTCTTCGATGTCCACCAGCATCGCGTCCTGCTCCGTGTGCAGTTCATCTCGAATGAGCAGCAGCTGCACCAATTCTTCATTCAAGCCTGGGTCCAGAAAGAAAGGAGATTAACTTGCTTCTCTGTGATGTCCCAGGCTCCACGTTTGTGAGAGCTGTGCATCACCATGCTACACTGCAACGCCAGCTCCCCAGCAGAACCCAGATGGGCCTCCACAAAGCTGCGGGAGAAGCACAGTGACTTTTGCCTTTTCTAGACTAACCTGAAAAACGTACAGAAGTGGTTCCTCTACTGAACGTAACTGTGGCTCTTTTGCAATAACTGAATGCAGCAGCAAAAATAAGACGAATTTCCCAGCGCTTCAGCTCCAGTTCTAGCCCAGCTCTTTCAGCAAGAAATGTGCTCCCAAAAACAGCCTGCTTTGCTCTCCCCTACAGGCTCAGGTTCAGCTTTTCAGTTTCCCGCGGCTATGCAAAAAGTGTTTCCCATGGATCATGCTTTGGGGATTACTGTTCAAGCCGATGCCGCTACTTAAGAGAGACGTTAGTAATGCTGGATTTTTGCTCAGGGTGGCGTCAAGAAAAAAGAAAATTAAAAAAAAGACCAAATGAAAAATTAAAGCTAAGTTAACTTTAAAAGGAAATGCCTCTTGACAGCAGTAATACTCTTCCTGCCTGTCTCTTTTCCCCAGTGCTGTTGCAAAGGCGAGCCTTGTATTTGCTGCTAGCCACAGATAAGTGCTTATCTGAAAATGGGCCTTTTCAGGGCGCGGGGGGAGAGGTGGGGGGGGGGGGGGGGGGGGCGGCAGGTTGCTGCTGGTGCTCGGCACGGAGTACGGGACGCTGTGTGTGGGATGAGGTGCATCTGCTCCCTGCTGGAACGAGCTTCAGCCAAAACACAGTTCAACGGATGAGGGGAATTATGCGGGCAGTGGGGTGAGCTGCAGGTAAGAGCAGAAATAAATTTTTCCCAGTCCAGGACTCATTTCTTGCATGGTTCATTGTCTGCCTCTCTCCCAGGAGAAAATTAAAAGCACAACCGACAGCTGACTGATGTTCTACACACCATTCGCATCCTGTGTTTTAAGTACTCCAGCTGGTGCCTCAGCCTATCAACCAAACACGTAAACAGGAGCAGTCACTGCTGCTGGACTTCAGGGGAAAATCATTTGTGTTTCACTGAGCGGTGCTGCAGCTTCAGCAGAAGACTACTGGGTGCTCTCAGAAGTGAGGCTAATTAAAGAGCACAAGTAGTTAAGGAGCAGTACAGCAGCCCAACTAACATTTTTTGACCTACAACCACCAGAGGAGTCTACTTCAAAATTAATTAATTGTTAGCACTGGAAATTGGAGATCCCTTGAGGAAAAAAAAAAAAAAAGCATCTTTTTGAGAGAGCAAAGAAAGACGAGGAGGTGGGGCACTGCCAGTACAGGCAAACGCAAGAAGCCATTAAGTGCATTAAAGCGCTGCAAGCCAGCACGGGAGCAGTTGAACTGCATAGTCTGTTTACCAGGGATGTTTACTGAACTGGAGAGTAGGGGGGTAAGAAAATGAGATGAAAGTATCAGAGACCACGAACAAACAGGAGGATGCTTGCAGTAGTCTTGCTCTCACACTGGCTGTTTGCTCAAAAACCATCACAAATTAGAGGGGCAGTTTAGAGAGAAGTTTGTCCTTCCTGCATCGGTACTTCACACTGGCTGCAGGAAAGCACGGCGTGAATAGGAAGGCTCCCCTCAAACATCCAGGGTATGCAGAAACCAAAAGGTGAATATTTCTCCCCATTTCCAGGTGGGCTTGTTTTCTCTACGGGAGAGATCTTTGGTTTCTCTGCTTGTGGATATTTGTAGAACCATAATATAGAAAGAGGAGAGAGGAGTTTTGAGAAGTATGAAAACACAGCCACAAAGCCATGAAAACTGGCAGATGCTTCCAGGACAGGCAAAGTTCCCGAAGCTATTTTTAACTGACTCGGTTTTGAGTTACAAATGGTGTGTGAAGTGCTGGAACAATGCTACGATCATCATCGCGATCTGGAAGAGCCAACTGAATGCTTTAGGAGAAAATGAAAAAAAAAAAAAAAAAAGGAAAGAAGCCTAAGGAGCCAAATCTTGGAGAGAACTCAGTCTCTGATCTCCGCAGTGTAGCTCTCTGATATATTTACATTATTGCACATATACTGAAGTACTGTTCTTAATTAAATGGAACATACCAAAGGAAAATTAAACAATTATCACTTACTTTCTATTTGTGAGTGGAGATCATTGACTATCACTTGTAGCTGCCCGATAGTCATATCTCTTAGGTCAGTGGGTTTTAAACTTCTTTTCATCAGGCATTCACTTATATGAGGCATATGTGGCAGCTAAAAATAAATGTTAAACTTTTCAATTTTTCCTCTGAATTATTTATATTTCTGAACAGCAACAGGTTGTATTCCTTGTGGCCTCCTCACAAACATGCATCGTTTACATTAATCTACTGAGACCACAGAAATGACCTGAAACATGTACACAACATTTGAATCAAGTCACCCCAACTACTAGTATTAACGGTGCACTGAAGTAACAGGCAAGGCCATCAGCAGCAGTATTATACCAAGAAAGACTGTAATGCTCCAACTTGAGATGAGATTGGATGGACTGAATAAAAATAAGTCTTGGAGCATGATCAACATTGTGTCTGTTACCGGCCTCAGGGCAGTAACTTTCCAGCTTCGTCATCTCATTTCCCACAATGCTCCTGCAGTGCCCCGATAAGATGAGTCCTTTTGACCCTCAACTACTACCTGACGGTTCATAGCTAAACTGCTTTTGTGCACGGATAGAGATAGTATTTGGGAACAAACGATAACCAGTTATTGACCAATTGTAAATTAAAACAGAACTTGAATTTCCATACTGCCCTTTATGGATAACAAACGCTGGCTGGTCTTAGACTCTAATGCCTAGTTACAGGAATGACTTGTAAACTGTAACAGACAGATTGCGAAAACATCTACTTTGAGAGATATCAGAAAAATAGCAGTCTGTGTGGTTTTAAAGCTATTTGACCTCTTCCCCCCAGGGCAGAGAAGTAATAATTAGAAGAAATAGCTACAGCTGAGCATGGTGACACTCGAACAACACCAGTCTACCGATAGGCGAGCGTACCATCCATGGCCCCAAACTTACAAGATCAGCTACTGGAGATTTCTTCCGGTTCTGCTTTTCCACCTCTACTTGCATTTTGGCCATTGGCTTTGCCATAGCCAAGGCCATTTTGGCTTCAGCTTGTAGTTTCTTTTGCCTAGTGAGAAAATCCATGTCGTCTAGGGATTCGGACTCTTCTTCAGTAGTGTCTCTGTCTGAGTAGGATGAGCTCTGCTTGCTCTAGGAAAGCAGACACGCAGAGGTTACAAGCCTGTTAACACTTCATTTCCTCAGCAGCATCAGAGCAAAGAAGTTTTGCTCTGAACTTAAGATAACTTTTATACACTTACAAAGGTAATAATTTCTACGGAAAGGGTGAAGAGCACAGGATTTTATTTACTCTGATCTGCAGGACTGTCTTTAAAATAATCAGAGTAATTCCTAGATAGGCCCTCGTGAGTATTAATAGCAACTCGAGTACTTTACATTGAAAGAGGAGCCAAACGGATCAATAGCGTTAAAGGACAGGTTGGTCAAGCTAGAGGGAAGCCTACTAAATGTCCGGGGTCCCTGTTGTTTTCACAAAGGAAAAAGAGAGGGAGAACCAGTTGGAAGCAAGGAGGGAAGAAGGGACATGGAATATGAAGGCCTGTCTATTCAGCCAGTAGGCCTGTGCCGCTAGGCGTAATTTCCTAGCTGCTAGTCAGCGTCCAGCATTTTTTTTAGTGATTGCTGAAGATACTGCTCCAGTTTTTAGCTTTACTTTTTTAATAGGATCAGCTCTTTTATCAGTTTCTGTTAGGGATCTTGTACTTTTTATGCTCCAAAATCCCATCGCTCTCCATGTTGGGCCTTCGGTCAGCTGAGTTACCAGACCTACCATTGGGGACAAGGGCGTATCCAGGCTCGTTTCCGTCTTGCTGTCGTCAGCATCGCTGTCTTTGTCGCTGCCGCTGTCGTTCACAAAACAGATCTGCAGGTTCATCCCACTTTGTAACCTACAGGGGAAAGGGAGAGGTAACCACACAACAACCACACCAGCGCAGCAGCACTTCCAAGGGAGGAGGGATTCCCACACCGGCCCCAGGAACCTGCCGCGTCTCCTGGCTGCACTAATAAATCACAGAAACATTGCAGCTCCCACCTAAAGTCCCAAGAGGAGTGTAAATGTTCATCTCAGACATATCCCTGGGGAAGTTAGCTTTATTTTTGAAGGGAAAAAAAAAGAAACCGTTAGAGCACCATCAGCAGCAAGTTCACATTTTAAGACGTGCTCCTTGGCCAGCTCCGAGGCTCGCCAGCGATACCCACGGGGCGAAGGGAAGCTCCCCGGCTCCAAAGCCACACTGACAGCAGAGCCAGGAACGAAAGCCGAAGCTGGTGGCGGCAAGTCATGTGCACGTTCCCAGAACAAAATCAGTGATGTTATTTCTAAGTGGCAGTTAATGCTCCATTCAGAAATGGGCCTGAAAACTCACTGGCTCAGTAACAATGCTTCTACCCCCATCTATTGTTGAACTTCAGAATTACTACTCATCTAGCAGTTTAATAAGCCTGTTTGTGTCCAAGAGGCACTACCATATTGCACAGGATGATTATTTATTTTCTGAAGCCCGTTGCCCATCCTGCCAACCTTCCACACCACCAGTCAATTTGGACTCTAGAAGACCACCTAAATTCATTTGCCGCGCGTTGATTTCTTCCAGACTCAGTAACTTAGCTCAGCATTGGGCAGTGCCCTCTCAAAAGAAGGCAACTGCAGCCAGCCAGAGCAGGAAAAAAAAAAAAGCAAATCCTGCAGCTGAGACCTTCCTGGCTTGTACTCAAACACAGTTATCCCTATTAGCAAATGGCTCCTAAATTTATTAAGGAGAACACAAGCAGCAGAGGCTTCAACCACTGCTTCAGAACAAGAACAAAAAAAAAAA